GTGAACTACTGCACTTTACTAGTATATGTTAAATGTACAATGTGTTTTTATATGATTACATTTAAATAATGAAAATAATATAATATAATACTATATATATATAATACTTATATTATATATATATATATATATATATATATATATATATATAATACTATATAACTAAACAATAATATAATAATGACAATAATATTATTTGGATTTTGAAATAGTCAATCACCATTTAGACCTTGAACGATATTACATATTTTTATGCTTCATTGAAACGTTCAACGTTCATATTCGTTATATCGTAAATATTAAATACAATAAAATAAATATATAAATACTATTTTTACTTAGTATTTAAGAGCACACTATAAATATACACTATTATTGCCAAATTGGTACTGCACAAGATAATGTTTTTGAGTCTCTAAAGGGAATAAAATTATTGTAATTAAAAGATATGCAATCAATTGTGCGCAGAACATAAATTTATTAGCAAATACATTATGGTAATCATTTAGCGGATATTCTCATACTTTTTGAGATTCGATTTAAAAATAATTTCTTTCGTGTTCAAAACAAATATTTACAACTTTAAAAACCTTTTTTTTTTATCCAATTAAATTTTAAATTCATCGTTTTTAACTTTTTCCTTAATAGACATAATGCAATAATAATGCTGTCGTAAATTTAAAATTTCTTTTTATTTTCACATAAGCGACAGCGTTCAATAAAATAGAGTACACATTATATTATAAAAACACTTGTAATTATTAAAAAAAATTAAATTCATAAAATTAAACATTATTATTTAAAAATATGTTTTGTTGTTAGTGTGTATTTTAGTAATAAAATAACACTAATATACTTTTTTTTATTAAAATAACATACAACAAATTATTTTAGTAACTGCCTAACTACTTATGAATAGTATTGACGATATAATTTTCGAAATGGGATACATCATATGAACGTCATATTTGAATTTTAAAACTTATCAACATTTTACTAAATTTACAAAGTAATTATTTATTACATTATGACTACTTAATAATAATAATAATAATAATATTTTCAATATAATACAAAACATTTTTTTAAGCCTATTTTAATCGTTACATAATATGAGTTACCTACTTGTAATACCATAGGTATATTGGTTATCGTATACACCTATCTATCTACATATGCCTGTGTATCGAAAACCCAGATATCCAATCATTTTTTGTAGAATTCAATATATTCCATAACGAACCAATTTCATTACACTACATTCCATCATTTTACTATACATATTTTAATACACTCATTTTCAGAATATGGCGTTGTTATTACAGTATTATTTATATTATATACATGCAACCAGTGCCGTCGCAAGCTATTGCAAGGCTCTGGACAAAATCAGTAGAATTTCCTTACAACTAAATATATCTAACTATTCAAACTTAACAAATTGTGGGCCTCCGAATTTATTTTAAGTACGAGACCCTAGGCATTTGCCTAAGTTGTCTGCCCGCTAACTACATACCACCCTATTATCTTGCAAACTTTAATTGTTTTAAAACTATGCAATATAATACGTTTTATGATTTTAAATTAGTTATCTAGTGATAATAATTATCATAGTTATGTCTCGGGAAGTATCATTAATCAATATTGATAGCTTATTATCACATTTATTATGCACGATTGTTCGCTATGAAAATAATTAAACGGAGCCGGTTATATAATTTTAATTAAACTTTGATCTAAGAATTATTTATAAAGCATTAATTTCTATCAAGTATTACACAAACTTACTTAAAAAGGAAATTTTAAATTCGATACTTTTAATTTTAGATTATAAGTTGTAATATAGAAATATACCGTTTTATCCTCTACGTTTAAAAATTCAATTTGAGTTGTTTTCAGTATAAGACACGAGACAACAGGCTTTAAGCATGGAATGTTTAAATTTGCTTTTTGTGTAAACATTAAACGATTTTATGCACTATTATCAAAATAATAAGTCTCTTTTAAAATAAAAAGTTTTGGGTTTTGTTACGTCGGAGAAGTTTAAAAAAATACGAAACCGATAGTCCCAAGTTTTATTTTCCGGAAGTAATTTTAGAAAATGATGCTTTAACTCGTAGCATGAAAATGGTAATTTAAATTTCTTATTTATTAAGCGTTTATTTTGTAAATACTAAATACTTAAAAGTAAATAATCAGTTTTATTGTATACTTTTGCATAGTTTAGTATTTGTTGTAGTTGAAGATCAAAATATTGTTTAACAAACCTAACTAGACTTTGTGTATACAAATACAAGGAAAAATATACCTACAAAGAAATGATAGGAATAATTTATATTGTGAGAAAAATAATGAAATATTTAGTATTAGGTTATGATTTTTGTTCTTGATTGTTTAGAACTAAGCTCAGAAGACTGCAAGGTAATATTTTTTATCTTTTTAAATATTTAAAAATTCTTAATTATTTAATTTATTTTAAAATGCTGTATTTCACTTTTATTCTTATAAATTAAGTATTAGGTTTTATCGTCTAATACGAATCATAAAATTGTATATGTATTTATGTTTTTAAATATGCACCCTCACGGTTAAAAGTGAATTGTTTACATTTCATTTAGTATATATTTGTAATATTTATGAAGGTCATTTTTTCGGAGTTCAGAACGTTCAGAAACAGAAATCTGGGCTTTACAACTTTGAAATAAAAAACCATAAAAATAAGTATTCCTTCCTTTATCAAGTTCCACGATGAGCATCTTTCCCTTTTTCGTAAATTTTGGTAATAAATGTATACGTGTGTTCATACGTGAAATTGAAATTCACAAAAGTAATAGTTCTTTGTGTTTCGTTTAATATGATTTTTATTAAAATTCAGTTAATAAAACGTATAGGTGAATTTCCGTATACATGTAAAAAGTAATTTTCAAGAATTTGATGAGTACAAAATGTACTTCAATTAACTTTCGAGTATAACGAATTTTGAACTATTTTTTTTAATTCCAGATATTTTAATATTTACTTTTAAGAAATACAATCAACATAACAATCATCAATTATAAGTGTATGTATAGTTATAATTATAGCGTAGAAGAATACTGTTTTAATGAATTTGTTAACAAGAAATAGATAAAATATTCCGATAAAGTTAAAAGAATAGATTGTGAAATAAAATATTAATTATTATATCATCATTAAATAAGTAATAAAGCATCATATATGTTTACATCAAAACAGTAATGTATCAACACGCGCAGAATGTACTAGTGAAAACTGTTATTGTTTCGAATTTATAAACGTCTTAAAATGTTCATTGATATTTGACACAAATTGTATGTGCACCATACTAAGAGCTTTAACGAGACGTCCTTAGAAAATAATGGACAGATAATTTAATATAAGTTGTTTTCATGTACAATGGTATTCTAACGTGGAGGTACGAATAACGAATAACGTAAACTGTTCGACTAGATATTTGTAGATATATATGTATATATATATATATATGCAATTTTTCATTCGTGTGTGTTGTTTCGCAAACAGCGTTTGCTCGAATATTTTTCCATGAATCCGCGTGAGGTAAAACGTATTCGGTAAAGATATTCTCGTTACAAATACGTCATTCGATAAGATGTTTAATTACAAAGTGTCTGCGTCGTGAAGAACAATATTATCCGTGATGGGCTTGGAACGGAAGAGTAAACACAGCGGAAAATATATAGTTCTATTTGCATACACGGAGAAAAGTGGTGCACGTGGGAAGTTTCTCGATAGTTTGAAAATATCGTTACGCTGAAATAGTCGTGTTGTCGTCGACATCCTAATTATGTTTACCTAATTAACACATCGATTATAATAATTGATGAACTGCTATAAAGGTACAACCACAGTTATCGGACAACGAATAAATGGTAATTATAATAATAATACGTTGATATACGCTGTAATACTGCTGTAGCCGGAACAAAATGTGCTGAATATATTAATATAAGTAACGATATGTCAGTATTCTACCGAGTGACTTTTAAACCGGGACACAACCCATGCCCCGCACAGAGAATGCATCACTAACTGAACTAATTTATTTTTTTGACAAACATTTTTCAATTATATCGTTATTCATATCGTCTATGAATGTTTAAAATTATATATAGTATAATTGTAATAATAATATAGTATATAATAATTTTATTTATATTGATAGCACTACGGTATAACTAATAAAATTAGTTTCATATTTTAAAATATTTATAAGTGTAATTAATAAGTGGATTCGCCCTCCTACCTAGGAAAAATACGCCGCTGAAACCACGTTTTATATATTATATATAATGGCGATGTATGACTAATGTCGGATTTCCAAGTATTGGGATGCTCGGTTGCAACTACCAATAATTGGAAAAACACCTTAAAAAACGTAAAAAAAATAAAATTAACCGACACAAATCATGCCTATTCTTTAACACGTGTTCAAATGGAATAATCTTAACACGCACGTGTTTCAAAAAACAAATCGAAGGCCAATGAAAAATCTTATAACCGACGGTCGTATTGTTCAGTATTTCTTTATAAATGTTTTTTCGGTGCACTGCGGTCGAATGCGGTGCCGCGATCACGTGGTAATAGAAAATTATGACGATCGGACGAGACATCTCAATGTAGTGCTGCGATAACCACGTGGGGTTGCACGTCGGGACGCCACACCGTCGTTTCGCGTACGATTCCGCGTGAAAATAGTTTTCGATGCGATAATTTTTAAAAAGACATCCTGCCACCGACTCCCACCCCCCTCACTTGGCAGCACATCGTTCGATCCACCGAAACGTAAAACGGTAACGTTCACGGAACACGCATATACCGGTGTACACAGGTATCCGTGCGTACTGTTCGATCGGTTAACCCGGTCGATCAATTCATCTAGATCGTCGAATTTCGACGGACCGATTTTGTCCGCAGGCAAAACGCCGCCGCCACCGGGTACCGTCGCGTCGCTGCATACTTACTGTTTCGTTGATTTTTGTGGAGCCGTCGATGTTTCCGGTCGGACGACGACTGCGAGGCGATTGACGGACGACGGGTCGAAACAGCGTAAGAATATGCGCGATCGGTTTGCCTGGGTGGTGATGGGGGATGGGGGTGTTTGCGTGCGGGTGAAGGGGTGGTGGCGAATTGAAGACCGCGGGATCAGGTGTAAACGGTGTACCGATAGAAATAATCACGACGCGGTAACGGCGACCGAGCCGTGCGGACGATGTTTTATGTTACGCGGGAGAACTTTCGAGCAGTGGCGCGCGGAGAGAGAGAGAGATCGAACGAGTGAGATTTGGGCAGTTGTACGCGCACTACAGGACCGCCGTGACGCGGACGTGGTCGACGACTGCGATACGGAGCCCTGGAAAAGCGAGAAATTTACCGCCAGCCGTCCCGCCACCGCCGACCGCCCACCGGGTATTTCCTCGTCCGGTCTCCCGCGCCCTTCCCGCCCCCCACACACCCGTTGGTTCCCCCCCCCCTCTTCCCCATAACACCCGACCGCCGCATAGTCACCACTCGTTTCGGTCTCCCGCCGTCGTCGACCAAATTCTCCGCGGACCACATCCTTTTCCGTATAATACACATACAGATATAACGCGCACGTGATCCGAATGTTTTTTGGGTCAAACCGATCTTTTAAGCCTACCGCTAGAAGATAAATTGAGACGAGATTAACTGTCATCTCTTATAATACACTCTGCACCGCGGCGACGGCGGCGGCGTTCTCGAAATTGTTTTATTATTTATTTATTATATTATTATTAAATATAATTTTTTTTTTTTAACACGAAATGAACCAAGACAAATATTGAAAAGTTAAACTTCGCCTTACGCCCGAGCTGATACCAAACATTAACTTGTCGGCAAAACCCTATACATCATACAAACTTTCATTTTATAACGCTCATCTTCTGCTGCTTTCTCACTGCACCGATCTCACCGGTATACAGTTGCAAAGAACACTACGTTTTCCCGAAATTTTTGTCACGCGCAATCGTTTATTAATTAAATTTTAAACGTTCATCTATTCCCCGTACAGCGTATTAGTATTAGTACTACCTACTATGAATGGTGCAATGGACGTTTTGTGCGAAACGTTTTGTTTATTTTTCGTTCGAAATCGGATAAACGTATTTTAATAATTCGACACTGGAACGTTCATGGTTTTTCAATAATAATACAAAACATTTTCTTTTATCGAAAAGAACATTCCAAGATTTTGAAAATTAGCATATTTCTTTTCTTCAAGTATTTACAATATATGATTAATAAACAGTCCACTATACTACGTGATGGCTTTACACGCACGATTTTATGACATTAATTTGAAATCCGCATATCTACACGATTCTTCGTTATTCATATTCCGCGAGGACATTAAAAATTAGGCCATTGTTTTTTATTTTGTAAGGCTAGTACAAAATAGGTTCACTATGGTATGCGGCGATTGGATACTAAAAAGCTGGGTAGTCGATTGAAAATATAAAAGGCTCATTTTTGTTGCATTTAAAGTTTAGACAACTCCCATTCGAAGTTTTGAGGTCTGAAGAAATTTATTAGTGGCGATACTTAACATTTTTCGCATTATTTTGCATTTCTAAACTTTATTCAAAGTCGTTGGTTAATAATAAACTGTTGATCGAATAACTTCTTATATTAAAATGTACATAAATTATTAAAAATCCAAAAAAAAATAAAAAAATAAAGGTCACCGTATGAAAATGCACGAAAATAGAAAATATTGAAAACTTACTGTAGTAAAATAGTTTATATTTTTATAAGAATATCGCGTTGTACTCGTATAATTAATCGTTATAGAAATTGACTAGAAAAATGGATGAACAACGTTAATTACATTGTATATGTAGTAGAAAAGCAATGTAATGGTTTTATATGTTTTTTCCAGTGAAGAAATTCTATCCATGATAAAATAAAGACGACGTATATTAAGATAATATGTATTTGTGTAAATAATATGCATTATATATATATATATATTGGCAGTAGCAGAAAGATCATAAATATCCTTAGTTGGCTATTTTCAAAAAAACAATGAAAGAGGTTTTAGTACAAATAAATCCTTTAGGATTAACTTCTTTAAGAACGTTACACGCATATATACATTCAACAAAAGGTACTAATAATACATTTTGATTCTTTCAAAGAATAAACTTGGTGTTGTATACTTATACATTTCATATTTCAGTAAAAATACAATCAGTTAGAACGATATTATTTTAAAGCTAAATATATTAAAGTGAAATTATAATTTTTTATCTTTTTTTACATTTTTATACAAAGTCAAATCCGTCTGATGTTAATGTTAAATACAGATACAAAATATCATTATTAAAATAATAAATAATGAAATAAAATCAAATGTAGTATTATATTATTATTATTATTATTATTATTATTATTATTATTAATATGTAGTATTCGTAAACTAATATATAAATAAATAAATGCTTAGCTTGTAATATTATTTTGAGGGTTCCGATTTTTATGAAATTGCATATTTTTTTCTATTGATCCGATTAAATTCGGACCTGGATACAAATTTGATTCATGTTCTATTGAATTAAATAAAACTATTTTACTTTGCATATTTTTGGGAGTATAAAAATATTAATGCATATTTAAGTACATTTTGGAACTTTTTGTAAAAAAAATTTTAATTGACGGGTAGATAAATAAAAAAATTATCGACCCGTATAATTGTATTTATCCCAATTACGATATCATATTTGATTAAATTTAAAAAATCCTTGTATCGCAGTGTAACACTCACATTGTAAATTAGTATATGCCTAGTATTAAAAAAGTATAAAATATAAAAATTACTACTTCTAAAAATTAAATACATATCTATAAATTAGAATACATTTTTAATGATGTATATTAAAGGTAAAATACATTTTATTCTGTATATTTTGGTGATTTTTTTTAGCAAAAAGGCATATTTTATGGTTTTTTTTGTGCATATTTTGAATGCGTATTCATATTTTTTTAGTTCATACATTTATAAATATTACAGTAAATTTATGTGAGTAAATATCCAAAAACGAATTATTATATTTGTAATGCACGATTGGTTTCGAATTAAAAATTCATCATCAGGTATTCATAAAATGTTAATAAAATTGCGACTCAATTATTACATAAACATTTTATTGACTTTGTATGTACATTAAAAATATAATATTATTCTAGACTATACATTTATCTATTTATAAATTATTATAATAAATGGCAAATATATTTTTTTTCGAATTGAATAAGTTGTTCTTTAAAAAAAAAAAAGAAAATAATAAAAGAAATACATGCCACATACTTAATTTATTAATACGTGTAATTATATAATGTTTTTTTTATGTGCAACGATTTTATTAAATTTTTGGACGTTTGATGTATTTTTAAAAAATATATTTTACGTTATATATTTTTTTTAAAAATATTCATAAAGTAATATCTATGGAAATATAATTTATTTGAAGTTATAATGTTTTTTGAATCATTATATTAAGTGTTTAAAGTAAATCTAAATATTATAAATCTACACTGACATTTTATTTTTATAGTGTATTTTATGTGGCTAAATTATATAATAGATATTACAATTAAAAGAGAAAAAAAAGACGAGGGATGTCTGAAAAGGTTTGATATTTTCTAATTTATTTTTATTTATTAGTATGAGAGTATATATTTATAATTAAAAACTTAAAATAAAATCATGTTAAAAGTTAATTTCTTGTGTACATGATTTAGTAATTGATAAACTTGAACATTTTGAAACTTATATCATATACCGATCTTCAATATTTAACTAAAATAACAGTTATAAAAGCTGTATTGGTACTAATCTTGGCTGTACTGGTATATTATTCGTATTGTGTTAATAAACACTGTATTTTAATACTCCAACTAGAACTTTTAATTAGAGTTTTTTAATTTATTAAATACCTAAGTTTAGTTGTTATTCTCTAAGAAAATATGATTTTCAAGTTTTCACATTTGAAAATGCAACTTTTAAAAGTCAATTAAAAAGAAAAATAATTTTTAATTTTGATAATTTGTCCAATATTTCTTTGAGTCAGTTTTGTTTTAAACAAGTCGGACACCTACATAGTATTAGGAATATATTGATTAATACAAATCACAAAAACAAGAATAAATTTCAGATATTTTCCGTTTTATGTTTTCCAAATCAATATCATTATTTCGTGAAAAAAAAATTAAAGTTCGAATACAGATTAAATTTTACCTACATAAAATGCATAAAATAAATTATTTTTATTTTTCATTATTTATTGATTTCAGTAAATAACCTTAGGCCAATGCTATTTAATTTTGTCTTAAGAATTATTTTTTTTTTTTTTATGTACATACTAAAAATTCGTTCTAAAAGCTTTGAACACGCAAACATTTCTAGTACACGCTTTATTTCCGCCGTATTATTTTTTCACATTGGTAGTCTTCGCTATCAACTGTAAGTGGATTCAACTAAGCATTATGATTTATCTGCCTAATTTATTTCTTAATTTTATTGTTGAATTTAAAGATAGCAATTGGTATGATAAATATTTTTTTAGTAATTAAAAAAATATACTTATGGATAACTTAAATATATTAATTATTTCGTAAATGGGTACACAAAATTAGTGTTTATCAAATTTTAAAGTTAATGTTTTGGTTTAAATTTACAATTAATAATTAAAAACGTATTATCTACAACTCCAAAGTTTTGACCCGATATTTAGGTTTTAATACTTTCGGAACAAGTAAACAATGGACCATTTTAACCATATAATCGACTTTAAAATAACTCAATCAATAAATTACTTATCCAGTTATATGATAATGTTAGTGTAATACTGTTATAAGAACCAGTGGCGTAGCCAAGGGGGGGGCTAAGGGGGCTATAGCCTCCCCCATGGGCCGTTTTTATATGTATAATGTAACTTGACTATTTAATAGAATCAATGCTCGTTTTAATCAAAGGCATATTGATGTTATGCCACTTGAAGGACTTATTCCGGCCAATTTGAATATGTATGACGATAAAAATATTATAAAAGCTGCTAAAATATACATCCAAGATCTCCATGATGATACCTCATCTACAATCAGAGCTGACCTGTTCATATGGAGGCAACAATGGAGTCAAAATACTATTCCAAAACCGAATTCTGCTCTTGATTCACATCGCACCAATCTTCAACCTAACATCAAAATACTTTTACAATTATTCGCCACGTTACCAGTTACCTCTTTCACTCCGGAAAGAACGTTTTCAGCACTTAATCGCTTAAAAATAGTTTTAAGAAGCACCA